TATGCCCCTTTAAGTAAGTTATTAACAAAGAATTAAATCCCCCTGATTGAGAATATTTTTCTTAAGTTAAAAAAAAAAAGAAAGAAAGAAAGAAAGAAAGAAAGAAAGGAAGAAAGAAACCTATAGGCAATGCTGGAGCCTGTAAACACTTTTCTGTGTAAGAGTCACAAATTTTTATTTAGATACTTGGACTTCACACTGTCATATATATTCCAAGAAAAATAAAATCACCCCATTTTACTGCAATAAGAAAAAGTATATTTAAGTGCTTCAAATTTTCACTTTATTCGCTTTATTGTAGCTACAGGCCATCTGTTTGCAGTAACTCTGGCCTCATATTCTAGATTACTGTTTAAACATGGCTCTTATAAAAGGTTACACATGAGCTAATAATAAAAAAAATCAGAGTATCATATCTGCCACAACTGAGTAATTATTATTGATGATACAATAAACTTGAAAAAAATAATCAATATTTGTACTTACTTGACCTGGATTGTAAAGAGGGTCTACATGAATACTGGTACCATTGTTAACAATATTTTTTTGTTTCCTCCAAAAGATGTTCAAGAAATAAAACCATGCAGAATACAACATCTGTACCAGAATTCCATTTCATTCAACTCTCAGAGGATCCAGACCTACAGACTGTTCTCTTTGGCCTATTCTTGTCTATGTACATCTTGGCCCTGTTTGGAAACCTGCTCATCATCCTGACAGTAAGCTCTGACTCCCATCTCCACACACCCATGTACTTCTTCCTCTCCAACCTGTCCATAGTTGATATTGGTTTCATCTCCACCACGGTTCCCAGGCTGATTATGGACATACAAACTCCCTGTCCAGTCATCTCCTATGTGGGCTGCCTGACACAGATGTCACTGTTTATAATTTTTGCATATATGGATGACATGCTTCTGGCTGTGATGGCATATGACAGGTTTGTGGCCATCTGCCACCCTCTGTATTATCAAGTCATTATGAATTCCAGTCGCTGTTATGAGTTACTTCTTGGTTCTTTTCTCCTCAGCCTTCTGGAATTAATGTTGCAATATGTGGCCATATCAAAATTTTCTAACTATGAGGATTATATTGAAATTTCCAACTTCTTCTGTGGTTCTTCTGAGGTTCTTAAACTTCCCTGTTTTGATAGTTTTACCAGTAACATAGTCCGATACTGTGTAGGCACTCTCTTTGGGTTCCTTCCTATTTCAGGAATCATTTTCTCTTACTTTAAAATAGTTTCCTCCATCATGGGATCATCACCATCATCAAGTGGGAAGCACAAAACCTTCTCCACTTGTGGGTCTCATTTGTCCCTTGTTTGTTTGTTTTATGGAACAGCACTAGGAGTGTACTTCAGCTCCTCCTTGTCATTTTCCCCAAGAAGTAATGCAGTGGCCTCAGTGATGTACACTGTGGTCACACCTATGTTGAATCCCTTCATCTACAGCCTGAGGAACAAGGACATTAAAACTGCTTTAAGGCAGATTCTCAGCAGAGCATTGTATCATTGACATTCTTTATAAATGCACCTTATTTCTATATACTTAATGTGCCTATAAATCCCAGTTAATGTCTCAACACATTATCACTAACTGATACTTTACAATACTGCATGATGAACTTGTGGTTATTGAGGTTGTACAAATGATGATGGGTAGTTTTAGAAATGCACAAAAATTTGAGGTTATACAGATGAAACTTTTGTAGGGATGATTGGTGCACATGAGTGTAATAAACACCTAAAAGCTACCAAAAGAGCCAATTTAAAGTGGTTGTTCTGCTGAAATTGTGTTTTAGAAATGACACAGTACCAGGATTGTCACCCAGGCTGCCTGAACAGGACCCAAACAAGGAAGACATGGATAGACCTGCTAATGTGGAAGGGGAAGGATCAATAGGCCTCATCCTTAGACAAAGGAGGATTTTTTTAAGTCCATAAAGGATTGGTTATAGATTTTATAAGTTGTAATATGGTATTTTGTTGTGTAATTTCTTTAGGTGAATCATTTCACTTTACTTTCCAACCAAAGTTACCCTTCCCTTATTCTCCACCTCTTGCCCTTCCCCAAGCCCAACCCAGATCCACTCTTAACAGGTAAGAGCTCCTGTGGGGAGTCATCAAATTTTGGCACATTAAGTTGGAGTAGGTCCAACCCCTCTCTTTTGGGATAAGCCTGAGCATGATATACCCTCATAGGGAATGGGCTCCAACAACCTATTCACACACCAGGGATAGATCCTTGTCATACTGCCAGAGGTCCTTCACATGGACCAAGCTACACAATTGTCTCCAACACAGGAAGGGACTAGTTTGTTTCCATGGAGGCTCCACAGCTGTCTGTCCAGAGTTCACAAGTTTTTATGAGATTAGTTTAGCTGTCTCTGTAGATTTATCCATCATGATCTTGACCTCCCTTGCTCATGTATTCCTGAAAGCAGTATCTCAACATAGAGAGAGAGAGAGAGAGAGAGAGAGAGGGAGAGAGAGAGAGAGAGAGAGAGAGAGAGAGAGAGAACCCTTATGGGGTTAGAAAGAAACCTGATGCTAGGGAAATCCCCAAGGATGACCCTATCTAAGACTTGTAGTAGTAGTGGTGAGGGGGTGTGAACTGACCTTCCTTGTAATCAGAATGGTGGATATCCCAAAATCATCAAAGAGCCCTCATCCAGTGCTTGATGGAACGAGATGCAGAGATCCACAACTAACCACCAGCCTGAACTCTGGGAATCCAGTCAAGTAAGGAATTTTAAGAGCAGGAGAAAAATCAGCAGTCAGAGAAAAAGTCAATGAATTTGAAAGAGAGCAAGGGTGGGGTAATGGGAAGTAGGGAGGGAAGGAGGTGAGAGCTGCTAGATTTATATTATAATTTTGTTTTAAAAATATTTAAGCAAAACCAACTAAATTTTTAGCAATACCTGTAGAACGGTGGCACTTCTCATCTCCAGATACTATGTGAGGCATATGCTACTAGGTTTACTTACGATATACTTATGAATATTACTTGATTAGGTTTTAAATTAAGTTATAATGTGAGCTGTCAAAATAGCGAGCCTGTTATTTGAAGTGAGAGAATTAAAATTCATGGAATAGGATTGACATGAATTAAAATCCAGTAATGAAGCATGAGATGGTTGGAGTTCAAAATGCTATCCTTTTCAGCTTCTGAATTTCTCTTCAATTTTAAAAGTTGTTGTGTTCACCATATCTATGGAACTGCAACAACAATTCACTTTAGAATATGGAAAAAGGGAGAAGAATATAGGATTGATTCCATGTGACTTATTTGAGGAGGAATTGATGGAGTTGTATATATAAACAAATACTTTACAAATTCAAAATCATTTTTTAATAATTCAATATGTTATGTTTCTAGAAGATACATTATTCTATAATGGCATATTTGTTTTTAATGGTTCCATTTATTATGTAAGTTTTAATAAATTTTTTTAATAAAAAGCACCTTTTCCATATCTCCTACCAATTTTTAATTGTATATTAAAAGGAAACTTGAATAACATACATAGAATTTAAGGTAATATTGGTTAAAAACACAGATATGGACTACCAAAAAGCATGACTTTATAATAACTGGAAAACTGCTTGGGAAAATGGAACACAATGACTTTGTCATCATGAACTATTAATTTTAACTTGGCATTTAGATAATCATGTTCCTGGATATCTTATAGGGCATTAGTTACTCCAAACAGAGGGAAACTATATTATATTCTCACATCATGTTAGGGGAAACTTAAATTCTTTCTACTTTTCTTTTACCAAAGGGTTTTTCTTAAATGGGGAAGAATTCATTTTGAGCTTTTTTTTTTTTTTTTCCTTATTTTCACCATGATCCTGGGCTTCTTGCATATAATATGATTTTCTTTCAAATACAGTGACACTGAATGCCAATAATTAGCTTTGCACAGAAACATGAGCAATTAAACAGCAAAGAGACTCTTCTATCTCCATTGGAACAGGCAGAAAGTTCTCTTATAGCCTCCCTCTGGACTACATCCCTTTGTATCAGCTTCCTGCTCCAAAAATATTCCCTGGAAATCCACCAGACCCATATTCCCGGGAATCAGGTGGGCATCTTCACTCTTCCTCCTGTCCTTAAATTCTAATTTACCATCCTATTCCTGACCCCTGTACCGGACTACCTGTTGTGGCATCTATTACCTGTCTACCTACATTCTCAAGGGTCTAAGGAGATCCTTTTGGCATACCTTGCTTTCTTTCTACTTGTGGACCCCTGAAAACTCCCACTTCTAGCCCACACTCAATCCTAATTGTCAGTACCCAATACCCAATATCACATTGTACCCAGAACCGGCAGTGGCCACATATGTGTCTCAGAAGCATGTCCTGCCAGGCAACCCACAGCCACCACATTCTACTAAGAACCAGAGAAGGAAACTGAAACCAAGGAACAAAACACTAACTCAACAAAGACAAGATCAGATACTAGCATCTAAAATAACAATCATTTCAAGCCATGATGCCTTCATACCAGTGTAAACACTTAATCAATGTCAGCCAGAACAATATGTACTCTCTAATACATAGCAAAGCAATACAAGAGAACCTGCTTAGTGCAATAGAGTTGAAGCACAGGATCAGGACTTCAAAATAGCATTCATAAACATTTGAGGTACTGAAAGAACATACAAATTAATGCATTCATGGATTATAAAAATTAAGCAGTACAATAAAGAAAACACTTCAAGACATGACAATGAAAATAGTATTGAGGTTGGAGAGGGCGGGCCACCGCCACAGTCTCCATAGCCGCCGAGTGATGTGGCACAGCAGAACACTTAACGCCGTGCTGGAGCCACCACGCCAGTCGCCGAGCAGGTCCCCCTCTGGCCATGTCGTGTCCTATGGCCTCGTTGAAGTGCTGGCCACAGAGAGACAGGGCTTCAGCCTTCGTGAGCCAGAGCCGAGGACGCCCGAGACCCCTGTCCCCTCCGTCGCAAGTGCCACCGCTGCTATGGGCCTCACCATCTCCTCGCTCTTCTCTCACCTCTTCGGCAAGAAGCAGATGTACATGCTGATGGTTGGATTGGATGCTGCTGGGAAGACAATTCTGTATAAACTGAAATTAGGGGAGATAGTCACTACCATTCCTACCACTGGTTTTAATGTGGAAACAATAGAGTATAAGAACATTTGTTTCACAATATGGGACATCAGTGGTCAAGATAAAATTGGGCCTCTCTGGAAGCATTACTTCCAGAATACCCAGGGTCTTATTTTAGTGGTAGATAGCAACTGTAAGCCCCTTAGAATGAGGAGTCTCCCAGTTTTGGTAGGTACCCACAAGAACTCAATGGCCTGTCCAGTTGATGCAACACACAAGAGACTTTAATAAACAGGAAATGTTTGCGCAAAAGGACCCCCTCAGCACACAGGCTAGAAAGAAGTGGCATTCTTCAGGCACAGGTAATTTTAAAGGCAAACCCACAAGCTTAGGGAGAGGGTGTGACCTTCTGTCCATTGAGTATGTGACCCTTTGAGGCCGGATGGTCTCCCTGTTAGGGTCAGCAGACCTTAGGGCCTCGGGGTGTGCTAATTAATCTTGTCTGAGAAAACCAGATTTGCAGCAATCTCTGTTTCTTAAGGACCCTATTTACCACCTGCTGACTCACTGAAAGGAGAGGCAGTGTGAATTCTTGGTATCCTGCTATCTCAGGGCTGGTGGTTAGCAAATTCCGCCCAGCATTCCAATTATTTGGGCTTCATTTAATTTCTTTGCTAGTTTGAGTCTTTCACAACGATTGTGAAAGAATTCAGGAAGGAGCAGCTATGCTGCAGAAAATGCTTCTGGAAGATGCTACTGCTCTTTGCAACAAACAGGATTTGCCAAACACTATGGCCATCAATGACATGACAGATAATTTAGGTCTTCAGTCTCTCAGTAACAGAACATGGTATGTCCAAGCCACTTGTGCTACCCAAGGAACTGGTCTGTATGAGGGACTTGATTGGCTGTCAAATGAATTTTCAAAATGCTAAATGAACTGGGATATCTATCTAACCAAGGACATGTTTGATAGAATTGGTCTAGACTTGTTACAACAAAATTAGTTTGCATCTTGGTTATTAAAGGATATCTGAGACAGATTTGGGCAGACTATTACAGCATTTAAAACTTATTTTGTTGCCAATTATTGTTTACCAAGCACAATGTTGTTATTTAGCAGGTTCTCTTTTAAGCTTTGCTATGTACTAGAGAGTACATATTGTTCTGGCTGACACTGAGTAAGTGTTTACACTGGTATGAAGGCATCATGGCTTGATCAGGTCAGCTAATGAAAGTTTTACAGGTTAGAGTAGAAAAATTTTTCAAAAGTATTTGGGACTTAAGTTACATCCTAAAGAAATTAGGCCTCAAAAATTAGAAATTAGAAAAGATAGCTTATGATCATTGAGTAATTTTCAGAAGTTATTAGGAAATATTTCAATGATTAAGTCCTTTTTTAAAAAAAGCACCTACTGGTGATTTGAAACCTTTAAGCAATATCCTGAAAAGAGATAGTGATCCCATTCATCTAGACAGTTACCTGAAGAGAGTAGACAAGTTCTCTCTCTCCTGCTTTCGGTTGGCCATGAGCTACCTTGCCCCTTTGTTGTGGCTCCAGAAGGTAGTACTCAGTTTCTTAAATGGTCAGATGATGAAGGACATGCAGGAATTTTTCAGCCTTTTGTGTTAAGTCATATCCCTGTTAATCTTTGGGGTAGAGATGTGCTTCAGGCCATGGGAGCAGTCCTTACTACTGAGCCTGTTAAAAATATGCTGGCTGACCAAGGTTATATACAAGGAAAAGGACTGGGTAAATTCCTACAAGGTGATCCTCCGTCTGTTGCATCTAAAAATTTAATTATCAAAAGAGCCGGAGATCACTCTGGGCTGGGAAATTTTCCCTAGGGGCTATTGCTTTGCAGTCTGTTCCCATTCCTATTATCTGGAAAACTGATAACCCAGTATGGGTGGAGTAATGACCCTTATCTATTGAGAAGTTACAGGCTGCACATCAACTTGTAAAGGAACAATTCCCTTTTTCTCTCCCCTCTACCAATAAACACGTGGGCGCTGAGTCTGGTGCTTGTGTTTCATAAGCAATAGCTGCCGCAACAGAACAACAGTCATAACTTCTGTTAGTTCCTTTTATTTTTCTTTGTTAAGCTTGTGTCTGGTGGACCTGTCTAGTGTTGAGAGTGGGGTGTTGAAATCTCCTACTATAAGTGTGTGAGGTTTTATGTGAGATCTGAGTTTTAGTAATGTTTCTTTTACAAATGTGGGTGCCTTTGTATTTCGGGCATCGATGTTCAGAATTTAGACTTCATCTTGGTAGATTTCTCCTGTGATGAATAAGAAATGACCTTCATCTCTTTTGATTGATTTTAGTTTAAAGTCTAATTTGTTAGGCATAAGTATTGCTATACCTGCTTGTTTCTTGAGTCCATTTGATTGGAAAGTCTTTTCCCAACCCTTAACTCTGAGGTGACGTCTGTCTTTGGAGTTGTGGTATGTTTCTTGTATGCAGCAGCAGGATGGATTCTGTCTTTGTATCTATTATTTTACCCTTGTCTTTTAATAAGCAAGTTACAAACATTAATATTGAGGGATATTAATGACTGTAGGCCCCTGCATGGACCCCTGAGGCGCCTTGAGCAAGGCTGAAGCTGTTGGCCAGAACTCCTTGCCCCAAGGCTTTTGTTGGTACTCTTCCCATTTTGATGACACACACCTCATGACAACACACACCTCGTGACAACAAGCACCTCGTAGGGAGGAGCAAAGCCTAAAATTCCTGTAATTTTCCACTGTGCTGTAAGTCAGTATTTAAGCCCATTCTTTCCCCTCAATAAACGGCATTCGGCATTTGGTGTTCCGACTTTGCCATTGAATGAATGACCCGCTGTCTTGTCTTTATTTCAATCGCTAGGCCTTCACCCGATTCTTGGAACAGATTTTAGTGTGGGCATTACTAAAAGACAAAAAATTAAAGTTAAAGAAACCCCTCACTTGAAATGAAGGACTAACCTGGAAACCAATATCTGTTCCTTGGAATTTGCTAACTTCCCCTCACAAAGCCCTGAGATAACAAAATACCAAGTATTCACACTGTTCCTCCTTTCTGCCCCTCCTTTCCTGTGAGTCAGCAGGTGGTGAATAGGGTCCTCAAGAAACAAAGAGATAATTGCACCTCCGGTTTGCCCAGACAAGATTAATTAGCACACCCTGAGGCCCTAAGGTCTGTTCACCCTAATATCGAGACCATTCAGCCTCAAAGGGTCATGTACTCAATGGACAGAGGGTCCTACCCCCTCCCTAAGCTTGTGGGTTTTGCCTTTAAAAACACCTGTGCTGGGGGGGGGGGGGGAAGGCTGCTTCTCTCTAGCCTGTGTGCTGGAGGAGCCCGTTTGCGCAAACGTTTCCTGTTCATTAAAGCCTCTTGCATGTTGCAGCAACTGGACTGGACATTGATTTCTTGGGGGTACTGACCAAAACTGGGAGACTCCTCATTCTGAGGGTCTTACATTACAAGTGGAGGTTCCATCGAGATCGGGAAAGAAAGGATCACCTAAGAAATTGCCCTCGAAGGCTGGCCAGCAAAAGTAAGTGAATGAGGGTGTATTGAAGGATGGGTGCCAGTAGCTATAAGGAAAAGCTCAGCGGGCAGTTAGTGGCCCTATTGAAAAGGCAGGGCACCAGGATTAAAACAAGACAGCTAAAGGATTCATTGCCATAAAGTAAAAGAAATGGCATAGATAAATAGGACTTTTGATGAAGTACAAGATTTAGATCAAAGATTTAATAGCCAAAGTAGAAGCATTAGAAAAGGAAAGACAGGTTGTTTCCAGTGATTGAGACAGTGGATCCTCAGGATAACAGGGTTAGGGAGTACAGCCTATTATATAAAACAGCTTAAAGAGGCTGTCACTGCTTATGGGCCTCATGTTCCTTTTACTCAGACAATTTTTGAGTCTTTCATAGCGTTGAATTGCACCCCTAGTGATTGGATGCAGCTCTGTAGAGCCGTGCTGAGTGGGGGTGACTACTTGCTCTGGAGAGGTGAATTTCAAGAATTTTTCAAGGAAACCACGCAAAGAAATGCTGCTGCTGGATTTCCTGCTAGGAATTTAGATATGCTTACAGGCCCTGGGCAATATGCTACCATTGCAGCTCAAATTCTTTTTGACCCAGCGGTCTATATGAAAATTGCTGCTGCTGCTACTAGAGCTTGGAAAGCCCTACCTAATAAGGCTGCAGGACATCAACTATCTAAGGTATTGCAGGGACTGTCTGAACCCTATTCAGAATTTGCAGACTGCCTCCTAACAGCTGACAGGTTGTATTTGTGGTGATGATGAAAATGCCATGCCTATAGTTAAACAATTGACATTCAAAAATGCAAATAAGTATTGTAAAGAGGCTTTATGTCCCCATAAGGCCAAAAGTCTTAATGACTATATATGCATATGTCGGGACATAGATGGTCATCACATTATGGGCCAGGTTATAGCTTCCATTATGAAAAGAGGTGGGAAAAATGGAGGAGCCAGGCCAAAGACTTGCTTTGGATATGGACAACCAGGACATTTCAAAAGGAACTGATGTGGCTCCAGAATGTAGTACTCAGTTTCTTAAATGGTTAGATGATGGACATACAGGTCTTTGTCAACCTTTTGTGTTAAGTCATATCCCTGTTAATCTTTGGGGAAAAGATGTGCTTCAGGCCATGGGAGCTGTCCTTACTACTGAGCCTGTTAAAAATATGCTGGCTGACCAAGGTTATGTGCAAGGAAGAGGACTGGGTAAATTCTTACAAGGTGACACTCAGTCTGTTGCATCCAAAATTTTAATTATCAAAAGAGCCGGTGATCGGAGATCGCTCTGGGCTGGAAAATTTTCCTTAGGGGCTATTGCTGTGCAGCCTGTTCCCATTCCTATTATCTGGAAAACTGATAACCCAGTATGTGTGGAGCAATGGCCCTTATCTATTGAGAAATTACAGGCTGCACATCAACTTGAAAAGGAACAATTAAAGGCAGGGCATATTGTTCCTTCCACTTCCCCATGGAATACCCCAATCTTTGTTATAAAGAAAAAAATCTGGAAAATGGAGATTACTAGAAGATCTCCGAGCTGTTAATGACTGTATGCAAATTATGGGAGCAACACAACCTGGCTTACCTTCTCCTGTGGGTATTCCTCAAGGCTGTCATTTATTAGTTATAGACCTAAAAGATTGCTTTTTTAGCATTCCTTTGCATCCTCAGGATAGTGAGCGATTTTCATTTAGCATTCCTTCTGTTAATTTTAAAGAGCCTTATAAGAGATATCAATGGATGGTGTTGCCTCAAGGAATGGCCAATAGTCCCACTATTTGTCAAATTTATGTATCATTGGCCATTGCCCCCATTAGAGAGAAATTTCAATCCCTCTATATTATACATTATATGGATGATATTCTTTTAGCCGGCCCAGAGTCTAAGGAAGTAAATGAGGCTTTTGGGGAATTGTAACATAATCTTCAACTAGCTGGCTTAAGAATAGCCCCAGAAAAGGTGCAACAAGACTTTCCCTATCAATACCTGGGTCATCAATTGTTATATTTTGGTATCGTCCTCAAAAGATTACTTTAAGGATGGATAAACTGACCACCCTTAATGATTTTCAAAAATTTTATTGGGAGATATAAATTGGGTTCAATCTAATTTGGCCCTAACCACTGGGCAGCTTAGACCATTATTTGATATTTTACAAGGAGATTCTGATCCCACTTCTCCGCACACCTTAATGCCTGCTGCACGAGAATGCATACAGCTTGTGCAAAAATGCCTCCAATCTGCACATTTAAATTATATTGACTATTCTCAGAACTTGATGTTATTAGTTTTAGTTCAGTGTATTCCCCTACCACAGTATTTTGGCAAGCTGATCCTATATTGTAGGTGCATGAACATGCATCCCCAAGAAAGACAGTTAGATCTTATCCTCAGGCAATGCTTTCTATTATTTAAAAGTTATACAAAATGAGTATTCAAGTTTTTGGCAAGATACTGGATGTAATTTGTACTCCCTATACTCAACAACAGATACAATGGCTTCAAC